CTACCAGGCGAACGCGTCAAACAGACGGTAACCATGAATTTACTGTCAAACTAGAGGCACCAAGAACCTCACTATATCAGAATTCATATCTCTGGAGAACAGCATCGCTGTGGAATAAACTCCCTGCGACGGTTTTCCCTGCAGGTTACAACCTGAACCGTTTCAAGACCAACATACACCGACATTTCCGCGCACTTGCCGCTTCTCGAGCGTGATAGGACATTGTCCTTGCGAGAGCGCATATCCGTAAAAAAAAAAAAAAAAAAAAACCAAACAAACAAATAGAACAAACTCTTGATTTGTCAAAGAAAGTGAAGAACTTTCGGCGACTGGTAGTCCAAATATTTATTATCTACGAAGTCGTCAAAAATGAGTTGAATTATTTGAAGATTGATTGAAGCAGGTAAATACCTATGTTTCAAATTTGGTTCTATATGTTTAAAACTACCAAGCAGTTTCCGAGCTTTCTTTATAGACCGAGAGATTTTCGGACTTGATTTCACCCAGTGCGCCCTTTGGGGCCTTTGGAGGGTATTGTGGTATATATATTCTGTTATTAATAAATCATGAAGTAGACAGTGATTCCGGGTCCTTCAATTATTTGGAATAATTAACATTTGTTTGTAAATTACGCGTTTTGATACAATGTTACCCAGGCTGCCATTAATCTATAATAAAATTCGAGCAGAATACGACAATTGAAAAATTAACGGTACCATGAGCGGTGATCACAACCAGTGTTCTCGCATTTCAAAAACTGATTTTTGTAAACATGCTGCCATAAAGAAGTATACATGATAAACATTGTGGATTCATGCCCTGGGTATAATTTTATCAGAATGCCTAATTTGCAAACAATTGTTAATTAATTTTAATATATGTAGGACTTGGGATGCCTGTCTACTTTATGATTTATTATTAACAGAATATGTATACCATAATACCCTCCAAAAGGCATACTCGGTAAAATTACGTCCGAAAATCTGACACTATCTCTCGGTCTATTAGTGTGCCTTATCAATACAATACAGCAATATTTTATTGTTTCATCGATAAAATTATTATAGAACGAGGTAAAACTTAGAAATATTTCGAAATAGTAATTATGTTTAGTAGATGATCGCTGGTGATTTCCCTTTCCTGAGCAGCTCTTATCCAATAAATTTATATTTGATTGGGAACCACCACCTTGAATAATTATAATAATTCTCAATATAGAGTACAGCTTGAACTATACAGGGTGTTTCACGAACATCGAAACAGAGGCGTGAATTGTTATCTTATTCACTAAGATGTTTTATTCGCGAATTGAATACACATTTCTCTGTGATAAGTGCATGTTCGTAATAGTGGCGTGCATGGTCGTAATAGTGGCGTAATGGTCAAACAGAATCTCCGAAATCGGAAAAAGTGAATCTCTTCAAAATCCAAGAGTTTCGGGCTCTCTTTCGAAAGAATCTTAGATCGTGTACTTCAAAATTATTTCATTTCTTCACCATTTTTTGAGAAAGTTTGAAGTTTCCAATAATTTAATTTGTTAAACTTTATTTGTCATCAATCGGTATAAACCTTTTTCATCTAACACGCAGAATGACTGCAACGAGATATGATCCAGACAACCCCATAGTTCACGGTCCACTATACAAGAATTTACCAATCTATTTTGAACCCCCATGAACACCTCCCCATCCCAATCCTGCTATTCATACACCCAAACAAAAACCCGCTCCAATGCACAGCTAAAATCAACAAAATTAGACAAGAAAGTTTGGCGCTGGCGCCAGTAGCCTTAATCTGATGCAGGAGACTCTGGCAATCCCATCAAGGTCTAATTTCTACCCTTAGTTCTTCGGAAAATTCCAACTGGCCAGCGATTTAGTGTCTGACAAACTCCTCTCTCGCTGACTATGAGGAAACCACTTTTGTCTAATTGAACATCAGACATCCCAATAAGACCAACAACCATATAGGCACAAAATGCCCAGTTTAGCTGGAAAATGCATGTCCCAATCCCGGTAAATTCTTGCACCCAATCCTCCCAACCCTCATTCTCTGACATCCCTTACAAACCTCCCCACCTGCATCAAAACCATTACCTAGAGACTCATATCAATCCATAAGAGGTGTGATACAACCAGATGGCGTGACCTACGGTGAAAGACTTCAATTACTTTTGTTCCTCGAGTCTCATCTTCATTTTATCACTGCTCAAACATATTCAAGTCCTGGCCAAATCGTCAATTACTCTGAGTCCGTCTTAGAGATCAGCCACATAATTAGGAAGTACAGGTTCAACTCCATCGACCGGTGATTTGCCAAACATCAGATATACAGGAAGCTTTATTTCTCTACCAATAGTTGATGGTGCGCTGAGCTGGTGGATTCATGCTAAGAGCTTCTATAAGGTAAAAGGAAAAGAAGCTCCAGTTCATCTCAGTTTGGATGGTGTTTATGTACAATCATCAATAGGTAATGATTGATGGTCCGATTGTGTCTCACGATAATTCTATGGCACTGCGGATGCAGTGGTTCTGTTTTTCCTTATTCTAAGTAACTTCAAAAGTTGTTTCCATAATTCAAACTCAAAATTCCTCTCCTGATCGTTATGAAGTTCCATCGGTACTCCGGCAATGATTCATCAACTGTATAGGCTTCTTGATTGGGAATTGGGTGATCCATCCTACTTCAAAAGACCTCGGGATCGCATATTGGGTCAGTGGAAGCAACCCTTGCACTAATCTTTAATTCCCTTACGACAATTGATACAGTAAAATCGATCTCTTACCCTAGCCATCGTTTTGTTTATTGCGGAGTGGCCTCCACTCTGAATACTGTGCAGTTCACGTAGAACAGTGTTCACTATGATCCGTCTCACAACGGTCTGATGTTAAGGCTTTTCAAATCTGCGAGAGTCCGAGTGAGATTACATCATCTCACATGCCCAACGTATCCCATTGACCACCGTTTGACCAAAAATGTCTTGCTACCCAGAGATTGTTTCACATGATCGGTTGGATCGAACTTGCCAGAAGTAATATGATCCGTATTTGATTTTGAACGGATCAGTAACCCGACAACCGAGATAATAACTGATCCTAATAATTTGGCGATTCAGTACCTATATTTATTTATGATTATAGCCTAATTTTTTCTTATTAGTCAATCATTTTATTGAACGAGTTCGGTTCAAATGTACTTAGCAAAGTAAACCGATTGTATCAGTACTATTCGAACTGAACTGAACTTGTTCCCAAACAAATAGGTATGCCAGAGGTTCATTTTCTATTCAGCCGCGTACCATTTCCAATTTCGTGTCAGCATTTTTTTATTTTCCGAAGTTTTCTCTCGTAATGTCTTCGTCACCACTTGTCTCCCTTTCGGTATGCTTGGCCCTCATCTGTTGAGTACAACCAGAATTTTTGGCAGCCTTGTTTTCCTCCTACCTTTAGCAGAACTTGCAAGGGTTGTCGACGTTGTCTTATCGTGATAGGCTTTTATCGTTGGCATGATTTCTTCCTTCGTGATGTGTGATTTGAAAGTCGTGAATTTTCAATTTCTTCAACCAACAAGCGATTTTGACATTCAGGATTTTCAAAACTGAGCATCCACTGCAAGACAGGATGGTCGGTTTGAACTAGGAACTGTTATGCATAGAGAAAACTGTTTATGTTCAATAGATATTATTATTATCAGAAGCTCCCTTCAGGTGACACAATTATTTACCTCTGCATATCCAAGGGATCGAAACATTCGATAACTAATCATTTAAATTTCGGAGAAAACAGTTTTTCCTCCTCTCTGCGAAACATTGCAGATTCCCGGGTAATCAACTGATCCCCAATCTGAGAATCAAGACTTGTTGCTTTTGTGAGTCGGCTCGTTTTTCTAGAAAATTGGATCACTGTGTTCTCGCAGGGTTTAATTCAATGTAGGTACTTCAGTACAGCACCCGGTTTCAAATCAGTGTATGGGATAAGAATAATAGGATTAACAAAAACTGAGGAATCGAGTATAAGCATTAAATAACCCGAATATGTCCATCCAAAAAACTACGTGCAAATTCCGCGAAGACGCAGTGAAATCGGTGGCGCTGAGTAATCATTCACAACCATTCGCTGCCTATCATTGACACTGAACATTTTAAGGCTCAAATTTGCTTCCGGTCACCCTGTATATGATAATTAGGAGTTCTGGTGGCAAATTAGTGGTTACTTAAATTTCAGAGCATTTTTTGAAATAGGTTTTAATAGGTTTGTTCGGACTTAGTTCAGAATCAGCTCTGAATTGAACTGCGCATGCGCATTTGTTTAAAAATGTTCGATATGAACAAATGCGCAAGCGCAGTTCAGTTCAGAACTGGTTCTGAACTAAGTCCGAGCTAACCTAATATCAACGCTGTTATAATAGTAACTTTCTTCATTTCTCTTTTTTATGAACCATTATTTTTATACCCCCATTAAGAATGCAACTGGCACCCAGTTATCATCAAATTGAAATATTTAGATATGATTAATTGAAAAGATAAGGTAAAAGTGGGAACCCTGGTATCTGTATATATTTTTTCGTTTCGGTTGGTTATGACCTACGGTGCCACAGAATGCTATTTCAAATAATGCTTGAGGCCAGTAAAATCTTTTAAATTGAAATTCATCTTCTTCTTAGGTGTCAAACGATTGGCTGCTTATATGAGAGCAGCCAATCGGAGACAAGCGATTCTATTTAATACTTTCTCTGCATAGGAAGATTTGTCGTCCAAACCAAAACCTTCTGCTCAGGGACTATTAACAATCACAATTGACTAAAACCGTGCGATTTTATATTCCTATCATAAGAAATGACAATACATAAAAAATCTGTGTTTTCTCGTAAATTGGAGCTGTTCTGTATTTATTTATCCCCAAATTTCCTGAAGCAGAAGCTCTATGGAATTAGAGCTTAATAAAAAGTCAATTGCCTTCTTTACTATAGTTGCCTATGGTTTCCTCATTTCCTCCACTTACCGCATTTCCTTTTTGCAACAGAAATCGACTGTATTGAGGCAAGCTCTTTCATCTATAGTTGAGACACCTGGAATTGGCGGCTGAAATGTTTTGCATGCTTGATTGTTCGATGAATAATTAGTTCCTAAGCTACAGCAGTGCTGTCGGGTTTTTATGTCGAAACCTGAAACAAAATGAGATGTCGTTAGCAGATGCTTCAGTCTTGAAGTTCGAGTATTCGCAAATCAATTAAAATCAACTAGTTTGGTATCCAAGTCACATAGTTTTCGATATAGAATGAAAACTTACTAAACAATTTAATTTTATTAATTTATTGCGTTGCTCAAAAAGAGAACGTTACTTCATTTTTTTTGTTGGGTAAACAACACTATTATTAGCTGGCGTTGGTAATTAGAAATATATGAACTTAATTCTTCTGGCTGAATTTTAATTTTCTTGCAAATGAAAATGTAAAGCACACAATTGATGTTATCAAAATGTTAGCAGAGTCCCCCTTTTATTTGATTTGCAGATAGCTTTGGCAGATTCAGCTCAGCGACACAGATAACTAAACAATTGTATTATTTTATGGGAAAAGCAGCGAAAGCGGTTCTGGGTTCAAAAGAAATATTGATATGACAGGAAGAAACATACAGAAATATTAATAAACAAATATTGTTTTCCTAATTCAATATGTGTTCCATTCCCATAACTATTTTATGTTTGTTTAGTAACAGAGTGATGTCAGATGTTATTTATGCCCTATGAAACTACCACTATCACTTAGGGGCACTTTAATAATTGCAATGCATAGGTACCAGAAATACATATATCTGCGAGAAGATTGATATCATAAACAAAAATATCAGTCGACTTTACCTAAGCCAAATTTATGACCAGCATTTTTGCCAATCTTTATGATTTTCAATAATAAATCTCATTCATATAAACAACTTGACTGACGCGTTCCCGACCGTAAGTTGTATTTATGTGTGAGTGGCTGTGGTGGGGGAGGGGCGAGGCTTCGCGGCACTTGGCTAATCTCACCTTTCTCTGTACTCAATGGGATCTTTCTTGCGTTTTTGAGGATCGGGTTCCAGATTTGGTTTAGTTTTAGTGTTTCTTCTTTCCTGTTGAAGTTCTCCGTATGTTTGTGGATTTCTATAGCTTCACGTACAAGACGATTGTGGTATCCGGAAGTCGGTGCAAGGAGCTTGACCCCACGAAAGAGTATTTCATGATTCGCTTCACTAAGCGCATGTTCCGCAACTGCCGATTTTTCCGATTGTCCTACTCTGCAGTTTCTTTTGTGTTCGTTCATCCTGGTTCCCATGGATCTTTTTGTTGCGCCTATGTATACTTTTCCACATGTGCATCGTATACGACAGACTCCAGCGCTTGGCAGTGAGTTCCTCTTATCCTTGGCTGATCTGAGTGATTGCTGTATTTTCCTTGTTGGCTTGAAGATTGTTTTTATGTTGTGTTTCTTCAAGACTTTCCCTATCCTGTCTGTCACCCGAGAAATGAAAGGCAGATAGGCATTAGCCACCACTGGTTGTTCATCCACGTTTTGTCGTGTGGCAGTTTTCGTTCGCATGGCCCTGTCGATTTCAGAATCATTGTAACCAATTGATAGAGAGGCAGACTTGATATGATCCAGTTCTTGCTTGAGATATTGTGGCTCGCAGATGTTCCGAGCACGTTCTGTTAACGTTGTTAAAATTCCGCGTTTTTGCCTTGGATGGTGGTTTGAGAGTGCATGCAGGTACCTGTCTGTGTGTGTATGTTTTCGGTACACCGTGTGGCTTAGTTTTCCTCCAGATTTCCTCATGAGCACATCTAAGAAGGCGATTTCCTGGGTTTTCTCCTTTTCCATGGTAAATTCTATGCTAGGATATTGCTCGTTCAGGTGGCCTAGGAACTGGTTAAGCTTCTCTTCTCCATGACTCCAAACCACAAAAGTATTACCTACGTATCGAAGCCATACCGTTGCTTTGTGGTCAAAAGATTCTATAGCTTTCCTCTCGAATTCCTCCATAAAGAAGTTGGCTATGCCGGGCTGAGCGGACTTCCCATAGCTACACCGTCCGTTTGCTCGTAGAAATCGCCGTTCCACAGGAAGTAACTACCAGTGAGACATGTCCGGAAAAGCTCAACTATGTCATTGGGGAAGGTACTTGATATCAAGTCAAGAGATTCTGTCAATGGCACTTTTGTGAATAGGGACACGACATCAAAGCTGACCAGGATATCGTTAGGTTGAAGAATAATATCCCTAATTTTCCGGACAAAGTGAGTGGAGTCCTTGACGTGAGAGCTCGTTTTTCCTACATGCGGTTGAAGAAGCGATGCAAGATGTTTCGCTAGGTTGTACGTTGGTGCTCCAGGTGCACTCACTATAGGTCTTAGCGGGACTTCCGGTTTGTGAATTTTGGGTAGGCCGTAGAGTCGTGGTGGAACTGCTTCTGTTTTGATGATGCCTTTCTTAACCGTGTGTGTTAGGGTAGATGACCTGATCAGTTTGTTGGTATTCCGGAGTGTGGCTTGTGTGGGATCCTTCTTAAGCTTTCGGTAGGTAAATGGATCAAGGAGTTCCTGAATTTTTCAGTTGTAGTCTTCAGTTCTTAACAGGGCAGTTGCGTTGTCCTTATCCGCAGGTAGGATGATCATATCTTCCGCTGAATTCAGGTTCCTAATTGCTATTAGTTCCTTCTTAGAGAGTTATCCATACTTGGGTATGAGATGGTTATCAATTTTGTTCCAATCCGTTGCCTGTATTTTGTTGTTGAGCGTCAGATGTAGGTGGAGTAGTTCTCTATCTACTTCAGCCAGATCCTTCCTCGTTTTGTGGATTCGCTCTCGGAGAAATGCTTTTTCAGTTCTGGAGTAGATGCAATGTGCTTGGGGTGTCTTGATGGAGCGCTTAATCTGTAAGAACGCTGGTACGATGTTAGTGTCACGGCAGCCACTCACACATAAATACAACTTACGGTCGCGAACGCGTCAGTCTGCTACCAGAATCGGACATGGAAGCACCTCTGAAGATGCTAGCCACGCGTGTTAGCGAAACGTCAGGAAGGCCATTAAGCCCGAATGAAAACTCCTTATCAACACATTTTTTTCTTTTTAGTAGCCTGCTTCAATACACTTCCGAATATATTCCTCTTCCATATTTGTCGACTTCTGCCTGTCTATGGATGTCATCACGCCATGTCTTCTGGGTCCTTATTCATGAAACAGGGGAGCAACGTTCCCAGGAGAACGAGTGTTCCGTCTTTCTCAATGATATGCAAATGAATATATAAGTAACAAAGACGGAACACTCGTTCTTCTGGGAACGCTGTTCCCTTGTTTCAAGAATAAGGACCCTGAGGTCTTCCAACCCTTCTCTTGTTCGCTCTTGGACACCATGCTGTTAGCTTGTGCCTCTATCTCCCTGGTCTCCGTCTTGCAATATGGGCAGCTCATCTCTACTTTAGCTGCGTTACTCTTTTGCCAAGATCTATTGTTTACATTCTCCTTTTGATTTTCTCGTTTGGAACTCTATTACGTAAACTAATGAATTAGCGAGAGAACTGGCGGCCAATTCTTGAAATTGTACGGATTTCAGTCGTATACGAATATTATTCGAAAGAGAGATTCGAATACGAACAAAAAACTTAATTCTTGAACTTCCACGGACAAATTTCCGCATTCGAATGTTCATTGGGAATAAACACGTTGGCAACATTGCAACATTCTCTTGTCTCATGCCAAAAAATGGAGAAATTTTACAAAATTAAAAACATAACCCTAGTTTGATGTAACTGTCAAACGACAGTGACAGATTGACAAAATATCATGGTAACATGGAATAAATTATTGTTGTGTTAACTGGACTTTGATTTTGGAATAAACGGACCCAAGATTTCTGTCACGCACCTCAGAGCCGTGAAAATACAAAACAAGTACAAAGTTAGTGAAGCAGAAGAACAAGCCGGTTTTAGAGCAGGAAAATTAACGGTTGCCCACTTATTAAGTGTGATCCTGGTGATAGAAAAGAAACTAGCATACGACCAATAACTTCATTTACTATTTACTTAGTGTATCTTAAAAATGCATATGGCAATATAATCAATCTTATCCGCAGTTAAAGTTTTCCACTAACAACTAAAATACCTAATGGTTTTTATCCAGCCGTGGATGAAATTATTATTAAACAAGCACTCCAATTGTTCACCTTTGCAATCAACTAATTCCGACTTCAAAAATACTATAGGTTCCAGAAAAAAAAACTATTTGGGGGATCGTGCGCGTCTTGGTATGTGTCCACAATTTCATTCAGCATTGGCTTCCATTAGTAAAAAGATCAAAACTTGTAGCATTAAAGACCGTCAATTACTCTCAATGCACTCTAATGTACCTACTTTTGTCTGAGATTTAAGCCCTCACGCCTTTATCTCTAGGAGAATTTTTTTTTTCGGTGTACTGACTCAGCTGGGCTATTACTTGCTGTTCAAGATGATGGAAATAGTCAAATAATAATTGTGTTATCAATTATTGTCGATGCCAAGTAGAGCTTATTGATACGCAGACCTAACCCGACGGAGACTATAAATTCATATTATACTAACAGGATCAATTAACGAAATTTGTGCATTAGATCCTATGCCAAGTAGAAATTGCTAGGAAGTCAATTGGACTTTCCGGTTACATCGATCGCCATCTTTTTATTCTCCAGTGTGATAATGGCATAGAATTTGTTATTGCTTAGTCCCATTTGAAAATAGAAAATTGCCTCACTGACAGAATCGAGGCTCTCTAGAACATTGTTACCAAGATTTATGGTATGCTTTTTCTATATTGGATGTATGATAAAAATATCACAGGTTGACAAAATGTGTTTTGTCCCAAAAAAAAAAAAAACCTGCAAATTAGACCAATTCTCCTAGAAAATACCTAAATGAAACCATTGAATTTAATAGTATATTTCCTAACTAGTGCGGAAAAGTGGCATTTTCCGCACGTGTAAGGAACACAATTTTTTCTACTAGATGAAAGTTGATATTTATAACTAACTATACACCTACCAATTTTAGATATTTTTACTTTTCCGCACTAGTGCGGAAAAGAACCGGCTGATAATATTATTTTCATATAGAGATCGATATTTTCGCCATGAAGAGAACTACATCTTCTGATATACTACCGAGCATTGGGCGGAAATGTTTACCAAAAAACCATTTTCATTATGTGATAAACATTCGGCGTTCAAAATTAGTTCAAGGTCTGATCCTTGAGAAAACCAGCATAATAATGCTTAAGCAGGACGCGCACTGAATCGACTCGGACCGGTCGACTCGACGAAGAGCATTCGGTAGTTTTTGATACTCATGCAATTAAATGAGACTCCGCGCACGGCATCGGACTCGTCGACTCGACGTGGTCGACTCGAGTCTCATTTAATTGCATGAGTATCAAAAACTACCGAATGCTCTTCGCCGAGTCGACCGGTCCGAGTCGATTCAGTGCGCGTCCTGCTTTAAAGAACCGACTCAAAACACTATATTGAAATAAATGAAAACTGATATTTTTTATTTGTGCGATAACCTTGAAACCTGGAATTTGAACAATGGAATTAAGTATGCATGCAAAGGGATCAAAAGTCAGGATATCCTATGTAAATTAGTCAAAAAGAAATTGGCACCCAAAATGTGCATACATGGGATGTCAACTTATTGATTATATTGATAAAATGAGATACTGAACAAATATTATTGAAAAGTATAATTACCTTTGGGTTGTAGTTTACTGAATAAACTTTGTTGTTAACAGTTTAATAGTCCCTCCTAGATTGTTCTTGCTAAAGTTATACCTATCGTTTGTTATTCTGGAAAAGTCTTTAGGTAAGTATTATAAGTTCAGTTCCAGTTAAGTATTATTCCGCAGAATATAATTCGTGCTATAGGGATGCATTACGAATTATAGAGGAAGACCGAAGAGGGCGACATGGTCTTGAAATACATATTAATTTAAAATTTTAAAATTATATATTTTCTTTGGTAACTACTAGAAGCGATCTCAGACTTTTAGAAGATCAAACCAGCAAAATTCGATCTGACTGCTCATGCTTGATATAAATGATATTGTTTTTGATCATCATTTACAATATATGACTGTAACAAATTCGAAGCATCACTTCTCTGGCATCAGCAGAGTATCGAGGAAATTCCTCCAACAACGATCTGCAAACCAGATGAAATGTTATTTTTACCTACAGGCTCAACAAAACTCAAAAGGTCACAAGGGTACTATGTGTATTTACGAGTTCTGATATATTACGAGCCTTCTTGCACTTCCAGGAAGAAGATCAGAGTCCAGATATCAGGTCTTGGTGCAAGATAATCTTATACAGCAAAGTGACAGATAGAAACACTAATCAATCCAAGATTTCCAATCAATTTCTTGCTAGATATCATATTTTGTGTCCCGCCTAAAGTCACGTAAACACTGGAAAACTATGAGATTCCAGAAACCTGGTCCAATCGATTATTTTGGCCATCAAAGAATATGCACAGATGCGGAAGATCTGGTAGTCCTGACTCTAGGGCACTTCTTGGTTGTACGGGAAATAGTCGCACCTCCAGATCCAATCACGAAGAATATCAATAAAAAAATGGATGGATGGTGGAAAAAATCAAACGAGAATTTTGGAAAAGCTGGTAAAATATCTTGTCAACAAGTGATATGTCTATTTGAGTAGTTACTGTGAGGAAAGCAGATGGACAAACTATGGAAATACTTATACCCAAACCAATTCCATATCTTCAACAGTCAATCCAAGGGCCAAGCCCCGAGAAAACAACAATGCATTATAAGAAGAATTCGCATCTGGAGAATTGGCATAACAGTTATTTTTTATGACACCTTTTCTAGTAGCTAGCCTTTTTCGAGATGCAAAAGAATAACCGTTCAGTCAAAGTACATCGTTAGTATTTACTATTCACAGGAAATAGAAAACCAACTTCTATGCATGAAAAAAGAAATGGAAGCTGTTGTCGCCATGCCAGATAAGAGGGGACTCTTGGGTTTGAGTTTTCCACTTCAATATTTGGAGTCAAGGAAAAAGTCAACATGACCATCGAAGAAAATGACAAGAGCCAACGAGAGTTTTATTAGCTCGCGTCAAGGATGATACACACTACTACTACAGGATAGCCTATCCTCATAAGGCCTGTGTGGAATAAATGCCCCTTCGAGCGTCATTATGGGGATACCAATGACAATACTTCCCATAATTAAAAATATGGGATAATATGAAAGCCTGTCAAGTAATATTCATTTATTGATCTAGGTAAATATAATTGGCTTTATATAAATTGAATAAAAATCAAAAGCCAGAATTATATGTTTCATTTAATTAATAATTGCTAGCTTTAATAATAAGGTATTGACCCGGCTTATGCTTGAGCACTTACTTGGTACGCATGCCTATTCAAACTTATATTATTGTTAAAGAAGATACACAGAATATTTTTAAAATAAATAATTCAATGATTCTCAAGAACGTGCTTAGAATAATAAGTAATTAGACTATATTGAGCCGAGCTGAGAGTGATCCAACCCTTAAATAAATAAGATTTGATATCCCTTTCTATAGCAGAATCCTAAACCAACAAAGATGGTCAAGTGTACTTACCATGGCAAAATAGCAGCAATGTCGACAGTAGTAGAGCTAAACAGCCCATTCTTGGACATATATAGGAAGCAGTTTGACCGCCAAATTTTATAATCTTCTCTTTCGACGTGCCACGGTGATAGACAAACTGACAATATGTTTATCAGCTTTATCGACTTGGTTTTTCTTTTAAGGGTGCAGTAAATATCCTAAGTTCAGAGACGTAACTTGATTATTTCTTCCCCTAAAAAGTAACCAGTGAGAAATCTGAAAAAATATAAGAGACCTATTAACGTAGCTATAAATAAGTATATGAGAATAGAGATGCTAGAACAAAGTTGTTATTGGAGTCTTTTTTTACTTGCGCGAATTACGAAATCATCAACAAATTCTTACTATTATTTCTAATTTCCGAAATTGGTACTCAAAAAGTAATTTTCTGTCCAAACCCGATAATATAGAGAAGTGAAGCATTGCGTATCTCACTTCGGACACATGTGCATGATAACCAAATTCCTCTCAGTGCATATTACATATTCACCAGTCTTATGTGTTTTTTTTATTTCTAAACAATACAACGCGGAAGAAACGTCGTAGTTACAGAATTTATATATGGGAACGTACATCGATTACCTATCAAAAACATTATGACAAAATTAAATTATAAGCTATTTTTGTTTGTTGTGTTTTAATAACTTTCTATAATTAAAATGAAATATTTCGTGTTTTCAAATTTTACTCAGTATGTTAATTGTTTTTATGATATAGGTATAGTTTTCACATGAATATTGAAACTTTAATCTTGATATTCGCCAAACATAGCTCATAGAACTTCCACTGAGGGCAAATAATGTGTAAGCATTTCTCTGGAGGAGTATGAATCAAATTTAATAAAGTTTATCTACTACTTCGAATAATGGCTATAATATTGAAAAACTATTCCCTGTAACATCAAGAAAAGCGATTCAAGTTTTCAGATTGTTATTTTTCCAGAATTAGAGATTTCCTTTAAAATTTTTGTAGGCCCCTCAACTTTTTTAGATTTCCTCCATATGTGCGCCACTGGGAACATAGAATTAAGTACCTACCCACCCAACTTATGGTATCTATTTTTCAGATCATGCAAAGTAGTTAAAGTTTGACGGAATCATAAATTCAAAAACTTATTCTTGGATCAAGGCTCGAAATATCAAAAACGCTATAAAATGAATAGTTTTTCATATAATTAAAATTTGAAAATATTGACATCTTTATGTCTAACCTTGTCATTATAAAGCTCAAATTGCCACATTTCAATAAATATATCACAGATATCTCATAAAACCATCGTAATTTTTTAGCTTGATTTCAGGATTTCTAATACCAGTGTAATGCATAATATTGACCAGGCTGGACAATAGAAACCACAAGAACTGACGATCTGTTGTTGAAGGTTTTAGATGACGATGAAACGAACTCAATTTTTGTTTTTGTTCATCTGTTGTCATCTCATGTTTTCTTCATTTCTCGTTCTCTAGATACTCCGCGATATTAGGTACCAACTATTTACTGGTAACACAATATATTATATTATGCTACCGATTATATAAGCTAATGATAATCATTACCACGTGAAACAATTTGGATACAGGAAGATCCTAAGTTTTGGCAATAATTAAGGGATAAATAGTGTATCCATTTCGAATGAGTGTATTCAGCGATTCAGGACAAAGTCGAAGGAAAAAATTGGACCTATTTGAACACCGGGGGTTCCTGCGATACGCCTCTGTAAAATCTTATCGACTTTGAACAAATATTATACATTTCTTTGATTTTGCTATCTATAAGATTAAGAAATTTACTAGAGGACCACTACCTACGTACCTATTTTGTTTATCTGATTTAATTAAGGTTTGGATCAAGTTGCATAGCTTGGACAGCTTGGTAATATGCTAAATATATTTTAAGATAGATACCAAACGACATGAATTATGTAAGAAAAACCTTTATATTTCCGGGAACACTTCTAAGCTTTTAAAGCTTGTGAGGATATTGCGATCATTTGAATTGTTGAGTGTTAATTACCAAAATTTGAATTGTTTTGGTTACTCAATACAATAATAACTTTCTCGTTAATTGTAACCATGACTATAATAGGTAGTCCTGTTGAGGAATAGACTAAAACCAATGCTTTGTTTGAATTCTAATCTATTGGATTTCACCATATTACGATGTATGATGATACTATATGTATTTGAGAAGTTATGAAACAGATATATGCTTCACAAATATTGTTATGGTTAAATTTGAAACTACAAATTATTGACATTTGAAGTTATAACATACCTTAAATAAATCTGCAAAAGTTTTAAAGCAGCCACACAAAGTTTGTCGAAGGAATCAAAAACACAACTGAACTGGGGCCTATTGGGGATATTCAAATTTCCTGAATACTAACACAATTTAACAATTCATAAGGCTTGAATTTCGTACCTTGAAGTCTGTTTTACTTATTTGATGATGCAACCTGGCTATTCCATTTTTTGGTTTCGATTGAAAACCAATCTTGAAGGCACTATAATTCTCCAAAAATAGTTTTTTCATAGTTAAGGACGCTCTAGTTAGCGTTAGGCTAAATTGTTTTAGATGGCAAATCATTTGTGGAATAGCAGACAGAATACCTAATTAAAAGGTAACGAAAAGTTGGGACTCGAATAGGATTTGAACCTAGGACCTCTGGTCACAAGAATAAAAGAATAACTAAATACTATTTTGATTGTCATTGGGATTTATTAAAACAAAAAAAAAAACAGATGTGGTACAGGGTGTCCCAAATTCGAGGGTGACCATTGAGATATCGGAAAGTATAAGAGATATGATGTCGGTTAAATTATGGCAAAGTTGCGCAATTTTATGACCAATAAAATGCCGTTTTGAAATTTGAAAAATTTTGAATACTTCCGAAAATATTCGGAAAAAACCGAAATTTTGCCAAATTATTTTTATTTTTTTCTGAGCCTATTTGAAGAGCAATTTTAAAATAGATGTCACTTCATCATTGTCACTTTTTTCCCTTTACAAGATGTTGCTACCAAATTTCAGATTCGACGTTTCGTCTTTGGGCGGCCATTATCAATTTTATTTTTTTAAATACGGATCCTTATTTTTTATTTTCGATTTTATGAGCTTCTGATGTCCCATAGGTTTTGGGACATATCGCATTTACTCTAAAAAATATTTTTTTAAATTTTTAGTAATTTCTTACCAAAATTATCTTCCATGTCTCTCTCTAACACATTAAGTTCTTATGGAAAGTGCCAATAATATAAATTTTTCGTCTATATACGTCATAGGTTTTGGGACATTAGAGGCTCATAAAATCTAAAATAAAAAATAAGGATCCGTATTTAAAAAAATAAAGTTGATGATGGCCGCCCAAAGACGAAACGTCGAATCTGAAATTTGGTAGCAACATCTTGTAAAGGGGAAAAAGTGACAATGATGAAATGACATTTATTTTAAAATTTCTCTTCAAATAGACTCGGGAAAAAATAAAAATGATTTTGCAAAATTTCGGTTTTTTCCGAATATCTCCGGAAGTATTCGGAATTTTTAAAATTTCAAAACGGCATTTTATTGGTCATAAAATTGTGCAAATTTGCCATAATTTAACCGACCTCGTATCTCTTATAGTTTCCGATATCTCAACGGTCACCCTCGAATTTGGGACACCCTGTATATTAATAAAAATTAAAAAGTAAACGATATAAGGTAATTGAGAATACTTTTTATAATAACAGGATATCGGTTAAAAATTATTTTATTAAAACTCTTATACAATGTCAAGCTTTCGAAACTAATTGGTTTCTTCTTCAGGACTTATTGTGAGTTTAATTAAATATTTGTTGTTTCATTTATATATATGAAAATAATTAAAGATAATAATACAAACTTGTAAATAATGGTACCTTTAATTTCTTTGAAAATTTTCTTTTTGGGATTAATAAATTTTGATTGTCAATCTTGACAAAAACTAGTTACCGTTTATTATTAAAAAAAGTAGATTTTCACGGTCGGTAACTCGAAAAACTATACATACTCTAACAATTAGGAATAATTTTCCCGTATACTGGTGCAGGAAATTGACACTTTCGAAACCCAAATGTATGCGAAAAATTGGACAACGACGCACGTTCAGAAACAAAAACATTTTTCTTTTGTTATTGTGATGATTGATTCTGGATGCTTTTGCTATGCCGACATAGCATCCTGACCTGCATTTCACCAAAAGTCGACGTTTTAGAGAACAAGCCACTCCAATGTGAATAACAGTTTTCATAGCTACAAAAAAAAAACATGCATTAGGTTTACTAACATGAACATTACTTCCAAGATATTCGGGATACAAACTAACGTAAACCTACATTAGATAATCCTTATCTTACCTCTAACCTCAGCTATATCATAAATTGTGCGGCACTGCAAAGCATCAAATTTAAAATCTTACCTAAATAACTTTCCAATACACGATAAGTGAAAATATTACCAAGTTTACGTTTGATTGATGGGAATTTAATGATTGATAAGTTCTTTTCACATAAGCAATCTCTAAGTTTCCTCAAGGACTTTAAAGCTACCTTATATGATATCCAGCATATTGAGCTGGCAGGTCTAGTTATTTAACGGATTATTAGCTTTAGGTTTTAAGGAATAACCCTCGAAATGAAGGCATTTAATAGCCCGTTAATTTTTCGTTATAACTTATTTCTTGAAGTGAAAGAGTAATAAATAATTTTTAAGTGACAATTTCATGGAGCGTTCCTTGCATATTCTTCAATTTAATCTCGTTACATGTTTTAATTTACCTATCACAGCTAAGTGCTACAATCTAACGAGATTGTAAAAAGCTTAGCTTACCTACTACACGAATTACGTATCATGATTTTTTAGCCCATTTGTTTGTCACATAAAGGCGACATCTCAAAGGTTTTATACTGTAAGTATACGTAAGCGAGTTCGTACATGAATGAGTCTACTCTTGCACACTTGAATAGATCTCATTTGGAACAGAACTTCATAATCATGACAACTGCAACACTTTTAATAGGTAACTCAAATTAGGCTCACAAGGTTGTTTACAGTTACCACGGAGCAAGAGTATTCGGAAATCCCATTGTTCCTATATTTAAATAGGTAAGTCCGAATACAATCTCCTTCATAAATACCTCGTAGTTTGTAATCTAGTGAATCCTGAAAACGTGTTTCGTTTTTTCGACTCTGGAACGATTGGCTTGGTTTCTCTCTCTGGAGCGCGATCAGGAGAATTGATGCTTTTGATTTCTTGTCATTCTGGTCAGATAGACGATTACCACCTGAAACGGCAAAAAATAAAATTTGATGGAAAAATTATAAAAAAAGGTAGAAACAAAAAAATACGTATGACCTGTTATCGCGCAAAAAAGCCTATAAGTAAAGTTGGATATACCCTATGACAAGTGAACGAGTTGGTGGCAAGTGCTACATAGCAACAATTGCCTCATTTAATCTTCAAAAATATGTAATTTTTTAACCTACTGTTACGAAAATGCATCGATATCGCGGCGCCGGGATTCTAAGAAATTAAATAAGTCACTTGTTTACGTCGGGCAGCAGGCTTTTTCCTAGAATTTGATTGTATTCGATGCGATGTTTTTCTAGTCAATTAATTTAATAAAAGTTGTACTGTTTGTGGAGTGAGTTTTAGTGAACTCGGAATCGGTGACAGTACGTTTGCCGTACTATATCAATCAATTCAGTGATCACGAGAATCCATTTTCCATTTTCAGCCATTTTCTATCCTTAGGATATAGGCCTCTTTCAAATTCGACCATTGTCTTCGATTTTGCGCAACTCGGTACCAATTCAAGCCTGCAACCCTCTTTATATCGTCGTACCATCTTTGTTGGGGTCTTCCAACACTTCTCCTCTCTTCCCAAGGTCTCCATCTAGTGATATATCCGCTCCAGTTTTCTGTATGTCTGGCCACGTGTCCTGCCCATTGCCATTTTAGAGAACCAATTCTTTTTATTATGTCGTAGACTTTGGTTCTTTCCCTTATCCATGTATTTGTTTTGTGGTCTCTCAGGGAAATTCCTAAAATTCGTCTTTCAATGGCTCTCTGATGTACTTCCAATTTGTGTTTAATTCTTCTGGTTATCACCCAGGTCTCGCAACCATATGTGACAACAGGCAGTATACACTTGTTATAGACTTTTGATTTTAAAGTCATTGGAATATTCATGCTGAAGACGTACTTTAACTTGCCGTAAGCCGCCCATCCCAGTCTAATTCTCCTATCAATTTCCATTTCTTTTTTTTTGTTTGCCCGGTGTTATAGCTTGGCCAAGGTATATGTATGTTTCTGTCTTTTTTATTGTGCTGTCATGGATCGGTATTGTTTCGTCTGCATCTGGTGTATTTGTAATAAACTGGGTCTTTGTGTAGTTCATGTGTAATCCTACTTTTGCCGCCTCATCTTGTAGTTCTTCCAACATATCTATCAATTCCTGTTTGTCCTTCGCGAACAGTACAATATCGTCGGCAAATCTTAGATTGTGCAGGCGTTCACCATGTATGTTCAATCCTTTGTTTTCCCATTGTAGCTTTTTAAAAATATCCTCGAGCACTAAAGTGAATAGTTTTGGAGATATTACGTCCCCTTGCCGAACTCCTCTTTTGGCGTTTATTCTGTCAGATGATTCATGAAGTCTTATCGACATTGTCGAAGTCTTATAGATATTTTCAATGAGGTTTATATAACGTTGATCCACTCTGGCATTTCTCAAGGATTTTATTATTGCCCAGATTTCTACTGTGTCGAAGGCTTTCCGGAAATCGACAAAAGCCATCCATAGGTTTATATTATATTCTGTAGCTTTCTTGATCATCTGCCTTACTGTGTGTAGATGTTCTGTCATGCTATAATGGCTTCGGAATCCAGCCTGTTCCTTTGGTTGGTAAACTTCGAGTTTTCGCTCTAATCTGTTGGTGATTATTCTGGTGAATAATTTATATATTTGTGATAGTAAGCTTATCGGCCGGTAGATCAGTCGGGTCACCTTTCTTGTAGATCAGAACAACTACAGCATTCTCCCAATCTTTGGGTATATGTTCTTCTGTTAGGCACTTATTGAATAGTTTCACTAGTTCTTGTCTCGTCTTAGTATCGCTTTCCTTGAGCATTTCAGGCAGAATGCTGTCTTCTCCTGCCGCTTTACCATTTTTCATCTGGGATAACCCTTTCACCGGTTCTTCCATATTTATGTCGGGCATTTCTTCTGAGTTTGCATTTACTATTCGTATTTTGTCTTCCCTTGTCCTTGTGTTTGCTATTTTAGATTCGTACAGA